CTTTCGCATTGTGCAAAACGATTTTTTTAGCTCATTTTTGTTGTTGGTAGCATAGACTTTTGACTTTTTGAAAACCTCATGCTCATTTTGCCAAGCTGAAATCTTAAACCAATTGTGGTAGAATTTCCTTGTCTGTTTCCATCCGACAAAAGTTTCCATAAAGCCTAGGGCGACTGCTTATAACGCCTCTATTGAACGATATTTGGTAAGGTTTCACACTGAATCTGTAATCCAAATGCCTTGCAACGAGAGACTCAAATAACAAACTTTCGTTACATTTGACCACTTTTAAGGTTAAAATGAGAAGTCACCACACGACTGCTTAAAATAAACAAAATTTCAACATAGTCATCATACTCAAAACGTACGTTCAAAATACAGTAAATGGAAGTTAAACCCATAAATGATTGTCTACTGAGTTGCCGGAACAACTTAAGACATCCGTATAAACCTACACAACACGAGAAGAGGGATATCTGCTATACATACATGACTGGCGCATCTCTCCCATGAGATATAGATAGCTGTCGAAGGTTTTTACACGTTATAGACCTGAAGAAAAAAAATTCTTCATTGGAGAATACGAACAGATATAAAGTTGAGTCCCGGAAGCAAACAATTCCAAGAAAGCGGATAACTAGGCTTTGCACGTGGTTGCCCCTTATGAAATAGCAAATTGTATTTTAGAGATACTAGCGTTTTAAGATCAGCAGCTGCTGTATTCTCCATTGTTGAAAATTGATAATAATAATGCCTAAGTGCAGCATAATATGACTGTTTGTTTGGACAATTACAAGACAAGGCAAGATGATTTATTAAACTCAGCTCATTTTTACATGACGTAAAGGTTAAATTTACATAGGCATCTAAACACATTACAACTAAGGAATAAAAGGAGAATTGTAATAGCAAAATAGAGAGCGAGTTGCAAAGGCTGGATGACCCCTGCAATAAAATACAATAACAGACAGAATTAAGAATATATTTCTTTTTTATGAAAAAAAAAATGTTTTTTTAGGTGTGCTAAGGCAGGTAATTAATTAGAATAACAATTGAGTATAGAGTTCTCTTAAGGGTTTAAAGAAATATTCTAAGAGAATTTCGGAATTACTTATACTTATAGGCAAGGAGTTCCAAAGGGAGAGACACTCCACAAGTGACTGGTAAAGAAAGGGTGTTATGACCATTAACATTTACAAATTGTTCTCTTTGGGATAAGTAAGATTTAAACCAACCATGCCCAACACCTCTTATTCCATAATGGTTAAGCTTAGTTAAAACACTGTTAAAAGGATTCCATGACTAACAGTATCGAATGCTTTTTTCAAATCTATAAATATACCACAGCCAAATTCATTATTATCAATGGACGGGCGAGTAGATTCAGTGATAGAAATAAGAGCATGGGTGGTCGAACATTTTTCTCTGAAACGAAACTGAAGTGGATAAAGTACTTTTAGTTCTTCCAAATAACTGTAGAGGCGATGATAAATGGCTTTTTCAAATAAGTTACTAAAGTTGGAAAAAACAGAAATTGGCTCAAATCTTGAGCCTTTCTTAAAAACAGGAGTAATCCTCGCTCATTTTAATTTCTTCGGAAAAAGACCACTAGCAATAAAAATGCAAGAGGCTCAGATATATAGTCTTTAATAGTTTTCAAAATAGAGACAGGTACACTGTATCGGCCAGAAGACTTGCTAGCATCCATCTTACCAATAAAACTCCAGATTTCATGCGAAGTGAAGGGGGATAAAAAATTGATCCTGAGTAGTTACCCCTAAGATAGAATGAAGGGCTATGACTTCCCCGGGGATACCCTTCTCGGTAGTCTTACCAACATTGGCCATGCCAAAAAAGTTATTAAAGATGTTAGCAATGTATTTAGGGTTGTCAACAGACTGATTTTCATGCAAAATGGAAGTTATGTAGCTGTTTTTGCATTTACCAACGCTTAAGATCGACCTACTACCAGTCCACAGCCCTTGCACGTTACGCTTATTTAAAGAAACATATTGATTAAAATATGAAGATTTACTATTTTTTCGGATCTTTAACAATCCTATTTCTAAATTTCTTATAGAGAAAATGAAGGTTAGGATTTGGTTGTTTACTTTTAAGTAATTTACTCGCCGGAGCGAAATTCGCTAACTCCGAGATAAAACAAAATTAAACTTCTCCATTCCAAGAGAGTACAATCCTCCTTGACATACCATGGCTTTGCTAACTTTAAGTGTTGGTTTATTCAGTAAGGTAGTTTTACTTACACTTTGGCATTGGATGATGACGCGTTCAGCAGACCATTTGGTAATAATGTTAGTGGGTTGCCAAAAAGTGTCCTGGAAGGAAAAACTGATTAATTACTAACAAATTCAGTAAAGAACAGTTTAATTAAGGACTTTTATCATTAATTTTTTTTGGGAGGGGGTGGGTTGGGGGAGGGTGGGGGGAGGTAGAGGGGCGGCCTGACGCAATGCAACCCCCCCAAAAAATTATTTCATTAGAAAATGGGGGGAAGGGATGAGGAGGGAGGCAACATCAAGGGGACATTTTTAAAGAACAATAACAAAAACTAAACTAAAACATCGACTTGAGATAATAATTTGCAAGCGGAGACGAGGTTTGTAGCGAGTTTGCTTAATCTTGTGCTCTTGATCCTTTACCTATCCTAGGGTATAGTTTACTACTGGACGTTATGACGACTATATCTAATTATGATGCCCGAATCGTGACCCGTTTTTTATAAACCTCCTCGGGATGTTAAATATTCAAAATACAGTTCCGCAAAGTTGGCAGTATAAACGTTAACCAGGAAGGTTTCTAGTTATCAATCGTATTTCGAGCACTGCATTTTTTAGGGGAAAAATTCCCTTGCGAGGACGCGCGCGCACACGAAGGAGAAAAGGAGAGGAGGCTGATAATTTCTATTTACGCACCAGTTTAATTACGCGACAACGCTCCATCAACTGTCAATAGAAGGGAAAAAATGATTGAAAAGTGGTCGTCTAACGACATGAAACCTAAAACCAATGCGAATGCGAGAATCTGTGTTTCTGGAAAGTTAAGTAAACCTTTTATCAATACTTACACCGTACTAAGGTCGTGGAGGCCGTTAAACGCTTTGTCGCCGACGCTTCTAATCGCATTGTTGTGAAGATACCTGCAAAAACCACAATAGTTAATAATATAACGTATATCTATAATGATACTTATATACCTTAAGTAGGACGTGATACCTATAGGACGATGTCCATGTCCACGTCATGATGAGAAGCTGTACCATTTCTTGGTACGTTTCCGCGAAATAAAGCTCAAGCTGAATTCAGCCTGTTCATGGAGTTCCAGCTCAGCCCAGACGGAGTTAGCCCATCACCATCCATGGTCGAAGCAATCACAAAAATGCGCATATCCTCAGACCAACATGCTGACTAGCGCGATTTGGGTATGCTTAACTTCCTGGCAAGATTCTGCCCCAATGTGAGTGATATAGTGTAACCCTTAAGAGAATTGACGCACACGACAAAGATTTTGTGGAGTCCAAGAACCTCATC